CTCTCCTCATCCTTTACAGGAAGTACATGCACTTTTTTTGCCTTTTTGACCAGTGAGGTGGTCAACTATATGGAATGTTCTAAATATAGGCAGTTTTTGTAATACTGCTATGGACCTATAAAGGCCATAAAGTTTGATCAAAAGAAGAAAAAATGTAGGCTAACTTGAAAAAAATATGATAAACCTCCCCTCTCCCCGCCAAAAACAAAAAGTTTACAAAAAAAATGAAACTAAGAGAAAGATAGAGCACCTGTTATGTAGCTTACTTGGGACCATAAAATTTGTTCGAAAGAAAATAACAGTTCAACCTGGAAAATTAGAGGTGTGGTGGTATTTTTTAAAAGACCCACACTCTCTACTTAAAAAAACAATGAGTGTGCGAAAGCTGGCATTAGCCCATTACTCCTCGTGCATGCCCCGTTTAAAATGTGCTGTTCTTATAGCTCATACAAGCTTACTGTGTCCACATACAGAGGGGACTATATAGTGGACTTTTTTTTAGCAAACTCAGTTAACTGACCGTCTGGACAGATTATAACTACTTTTTGCTCCTTGTTGGTCACGTAACTCCTACTTCACCACATCGTGCTTATGCCATCTTTGTCATTAGTCGCCTCTGTCGGGTAGCAACAGCCTATGGAGACAGTAGGCTGCTGTGACAGCATATCCCATAAAAGCTTTGCAAGGATAGCTCTTCACGCAAAGCATTCTGGGATATATCTGCCTCATCGGAGGCCTTTCTTTTCTTCTCATACACTTTGTAGTCACTTTTTCTCTTACGACCCTTGGCCATTTTCAAACAACTGTGGTGAGAAAGGTGAGCTTCAATGACTCTGTGAAACCATAGCTCACCACACATATACGCCTGAAAGGCGTACACGGACAAAAAGATAATTAATGAGAAGAGCTCGTAGCCTGATAAACCAGACTAAAGCTACGTTCACACTGCAGCCTGAAGTGACCCAAATCCGATTTTTTTTGCCCATATGCGACCTGGATCTGATCTTTTCATGGCCGTCTGAACAACACAGATCCGATTTTTTCCAATCTGACCAAGGCCACTTGGCTATGTGGTCCTGAATCCGATACGAATCTGATCTTTTCAAATGCGACCTTTGTCTGAACGGCCAGGTTGCATTCATCCGACCTGAACGTCATTAATACCCGACAAAGGTCACTATTCTGTGTCTTGCTATGCAGAAGCGGCAAGAAAAACAACAACCATGGCAGATGATGATGCGGAGAGCAGTATTTATGTTTAACCATATTGAAAAGATTGAGTTTTTATGGTTGGAAAAGACCACTAGATGCGTGCCGGCACTACCATCCATGTTTACTTTCGGAAAAAAAGAGCACGCTGGTCTGTGACATCAATGCGTTCTCTACTGCGCAAGCGGGACATTTGCGTTGTATGACTGCTGTTCACACAGGAGATCAAATACAAGTCGCATATATTTGGAAATATGAACTGCAACTCGAAAAAATCGGATTTCACAAAAAAAAAATCGGAATTTAGCATCAAGGCCTGCAGTGTGAACGTAGCCTAAATGTGAGATTAAATGTGTTATTTAGTCTGGCCCCGATGAATGAGACATTGGAAGATTGTTGATGAGAACAATCCGTTGTTTTTCAAACCATGTCTGTGTCTACTGGCCAACGCTGTGACCAATGAGCACAACTGATTGTGACGTAGTAAGCGCGACAGAAAGCTGGTGGGGGAGTGTAAACAAACAGCCTGTCGATAAAACAGCGAATACATCCTTCTCAAAAATGAATGAGCGTAGAGCCTCTTCCTGCTCAGGTTTCAACGAAAACCCAAAGTCTAATCCTTCCAAAACTGATTCTAAAGCTGAGTCAAACGAGAACTGTTCAATAGTTGTCATCTTCCTTGTTGTGCTTTCTCCAACGTCGTGCAGCTTTGTTGTCCTGCCCTCAAAACCCCGCCCGCTTTGCATCCAGAAATTAAAAACTCATCTCTGCGTTGTAATTGGCCCGCCAGTTCTAGGGCCTGGGGCATTGATGGAGGCTAGACCACTCGCAGGGAAAAATTATTTTGGCAGCTGGCGGGCGGGGCTAGTTTACTAAGCTAATGAGCTCGTAGAACATATATCACCAGAATGATTGACAATTAGGAAGACCACTTATTTAGATGATCCACCTGAAAAATAAAAGATCGTCCTCTATACGTATAAGGTCTGTTCCAAAGAATAATAAAAAAAAAAAAATTTAAACTGGAATAAAAGTTTTGATAATAAAAAAATACATGAGCTGTTTATGGAGCTAAATTAAAGCTACAGTGTGTAATAATTACAGGGATATACAGTCAGAAATGTAATATATTATACATAACTATGTTATTTATCATCATCTACGNAAACTCGCACGACTGTTTTAAAAACGTAAACTCTTTTAATGGTTTCATTACTACTCAAAGAGAAATTTAAATGTATTATACGATAATACAGCCAACCTACTACAAAAATAAACAACTACCTTCCAATGATATTAACTGACATGGTTTTAACCAATCAAATTGATACTATTGGCCACTTCCCAGTTTTCAGCCAATCGAGGCACAGCTTAAGCTTTCGACTCGCCCGCTAAGTGCGGTTGAGTGGGAATTGAAGTACGTGCTTCACAAAACATCACCACGGGCCCGGATGTTGAATGTTCGAAACTTCAAAATAAAATCACTCGCATCAGCATGTTTACTAGCCGACCGAGGAGAGACAAAATAAAGGGTTCTGGTTTTTCATATTTTTAAGAACAGAAAGTGTTTTGGATAAAGGATGATCAAAAGTCATCGTAACAGAACTTTCAAAGTTAGAACAAAATGTTTTAAATATATCTGTGCTGTGGTATGAGCTCTGAGAAACATCTCTAAATATTTTCCTTGAATCAGTTTTGACCAGAAAGCTTTGTGATCTTTTGAATGATAATAATTGAACTTTATTGATCTCACATTGGATAAATTTACCTCTGCATTTAACCCATCCCCTGCAGAGCCGTGGGCGACCATTTGTCCTGCTGATGGATTCAATATCTGTTTACATTGTATTGAAGCTATGACGCCAATAAATCAAAGCGCATAATGCCCATATCACACCTAATATATTGTAACAAGCCCATACATTTTCAGCCTAACACTTTCTTCCTTTCTACTAAATAAAAAATTACCCCAAAACTCATATGTGCATGTAAACATGGACAAATGAAGCCTGATATGTACATGCTACGTTACTTCTTGCTGTTTGACGTGGGCCAAACTAAAAATGTTTAATTTCAGGTTGTTTAGGATTACCAAAATAATTTTAATTTGCAGGAATATACATATACTTTTTTTTTTTTTTTCTGGCCAGCCTGAAGTTTTTAACTGCTTAGTCAGACACTTCATCTTGATTGCATTAAATAATGCTGGGAAAAAGACGTAAAGGGCTTTTATGATGTTTTTGATTGTTGCTTTTTATTTACATTTGATATTAGAAAAATTTCCAGAATTTCCCTTTTTCAACTCGGGAGTAACACCTAAAAGATAAATATCCTGTCCAGGGGTGATGCTGAGAAACTCGTCCATACGGTTGATACTTCAATGCTGGACTATTGTAAGTCTTTCCTATCAGACAGTCCACAACAAGAGTTCAGATAGATACAGTGTGATCATATTGCTTCTTCCACTGCTTCCCTTCACTGTCTTTGTCTTATCTCAAAAACAGCACTGGAAATTGTTCTTCAGCTCTACCAGATACTAAGGATATGTTTGCAAAATCCCAACTTTGCTGAAAGTGATAAAAACTATCTTTTATACTCTAATTATGACTTAGATTTACATAAATGTTATTGTCATTTTGTATGCACAGAGTGTATACAAAACAAAATTTCGATGCATACAGCTTAGAACTGTGTAATGATAGTTGCACTAAGATAAACATTACCAATATAAAGTGCAACAGTGATCAGTATATAAACAATGTGGGACAAACAGGAAGCAGATAAATTATGGTGTCAAAGGGTAATAATATGATAAAATTTCTGTGCAGTGCAAAAAGAAATATTGCATAAAATGCAATAGAAACATTGAGTTGTGTTTTATTTAAAAGGATTGTAAAAGTTCAGCAACATTGGTAGTGCAAATTGCTAGTGTACTGTGATGCAGTTTAGAGCTCAACAGTTCAGCTGTCAGATGGCAGCGGGGAAAAAGCTGTTGCAGAACCTGCTGGCCCTGCAGTGGATGCTGCGAAGCCTCTTCCCAGAGGAGCAGCAGGCAGAACTGTCCATAGTGGGGGTGTGAGGGTGATACACTGGAATGAAATGCCCTTAATCGAGGACATCTGCTGTCCTCACCACTCTTCTCACCATCTTCCAGTCTGAGGCGCTGCTTTGCACCAAGAAATTCAAAACTCATCTCTGCGTTGTAATTGGCCCGCCAGTTCTAGGGCCTGGGGCATTGATGGAGGCTAGACCACTAGCAGGGAAAAATTATTTTGGCAGCTGGCGGACGGGGCTAGTTTACTGGGCTAAGGAGCTCGTAGAACATATATTAATATATCACCAGAATGATTGACAATTAGGAAGACCACTTATTTAGATGATCCACCTGAAAAATAAAAGATCATCCTCTATACGTATAAGGTCTGTTCCAAAGAATATTAATAAAAAAAATTAAACTGGAATAAAAGTTTTGATAATAACAAAATACATGAGCTGTTTATGGAGCTAAATGAAGTTATTAACCCATAAAGTTAGTTCAAAAGAAAAAAAAAAGAGAACCTAACCTATTGAAACTGGAGTTTCAAAGAGAAAAACTTGATTCTATACTTTTGCACTTTTTTCCAGTTTCAAAGTTTTTAGTCCAGTTGTAAAACCGGACTAAAAACTTTTTTTTCCGTTTGTTTCAATTTTTTTATTGGAAAAAAAAAAAAAAAAAAAAAGTCTTGATGTTTTAATTTGAAAACCCCAACAGGAAGTGGATTCCTTCCTTTCTTGCTGCCTTTACACCGGAGCCGACCTGAACGTCTAGAAATGTAGACCCAGGAAGCCGCAACAAGAAACCTTAATGTCTGCTGCTCTGTCATCGCCTTACCGACACTAATTGTCGCTTCGTGTCCACCGCGGACGGAGGAGATGTGGACGCCGATCAGACACACGGATCTTCTGGCATCGCTACCGGCGGGCTGGGCGACAGTGATGGTGCGGTAGTTTGATTCTCTCCGACTCTGAGGCGTCACGTCCCAATCAGACATCCAGATACGAGACCAGCATCTTTATAAATTTCAAAATGAGGATCTTCACGTTTCTGCTGAAAAACAATAACCCCAAAATCGAGTATTACTCCCGATTTTCACCATCTCCGCTCTCCATCAAGCAGTTCCTGGACTTTGGTGAGTAACAGAAGAAAAAAAAGAGTTAATTCATCTAAAGCAGGGGCCTTTAATTAGACCAAACCAACACTTATTACGGTATCTTCTTTAAAGTGCAACTAGGAAGGCCTTGGTTGTTATTAATAGTGTTGAAATCTTACCCCCAGTATTTATGAGAGGTGGCATTTGAATTCAGTGTTACTGTGGTAACCCAGCCATGGCAGCACAAGCAGCAGCATGCAGGCTATTGCTGCTGGTGCAGCATGAGTGTTTGCAGTGGCAGCAATCCCCTGAATGCAGGTATGGCAGCTCAGAAAGCATTAATAACCACTTTAAGGTTTTTCCACATAAAACCAACCAGTCAGTGTGTTTATCTTGACACACATACTTTTTATTTATTTATTTATTTATTTTTAGGAATGCTTAATATTAAGTGTTTTCTTAATTTTTATCTCACAGTTTAATGCTAATAAAGTTCCTGGAAGGTGTAGTTGATTTCCAGCTGCTTGTTTGGGGAATATACTGGAAGAAAAAAAAAGCCTTTCATGTCCTACCATTACAAACATAAATATTTACAGTTTAACATTGAGCTTTGTGGCAAATTCTGATGTAAAAAAAACCAAAAACATTTTGCAATTGATGTTGTCCTCTAAATAACTAATGCAACTAAAACCGCAGGTTTGATCATGCAATAACTTATTAACAAACATGCCCCATCATCATCCTCCTGATTTTTTTTTTTCCTGTCCTCTTCTTCTTTGATTAGGCACAAAAATAAAGAAATGCAATAAAAACACTGTCCTAGCTTTATGAAATGCATGAATTTGTGGAAAAGCACCTCCGGGCCACTTTAAAACAAAGTGGAGGAGAGTGATCCTGTGGACCTGTTTTTGCTTCCAAAGGCTTTTCGAACCTTGTTTAACAGCACTGGATTGAACCATTTACATTAGGAGGAACATTAGGACAAAAGTCAGGACTTTGTCATAATACCGAACAAACCATATCCTAAATCTTAAATCTTAAACGCTTTATCTTTCATTTTATTTATTTATTTTTTTTTTTATTATATTGAAATCATGAATACATTTCTTATTACTATGAGTAATGTGTTAGCATCTATAACTCTACCCCTTTTTGCAGTCCCCTTTCTGTCCTGCTATGTTGCAGATGCAGAGTAAACTTTTTGCAGACTTGGTTTTTAATTTTTAACTTCTTTCTCCAGTCAAAGTCAATCATATGGGGACTCAATAGGTGCAGAGAAAGGTTTTCTAAAACACCTGCTGATGGATGTGTGTATGCATGTGTGCTTTTTTTAAAGGTTTGTAGCTAGAGAGCAGCAGATATATTTTTTTTCACAGTTTTGCACTCCTGTGGTGGACTGTATGGTATGTGTGGATCCTAGTGCACACAAAGACACGGTGGACCAGGAGGACACTCTGTACTGTCAGCTACGACGGGATTGAATGAAAAGTGCAACAGGGGGCCCCACCGAGAGACATTTTAGCAAAGGACGGTTTTACTTCCGTCCAAATGTTAAACATTAAACCCTCATCTCTTTGGATCCAAAGATTTATGATTTCCAGGGACAGTTTGCATGATCTGTTACAGCTGAAGTTGGCAGACAGCGGGTGAATCTCCAGATAGCAGATTTAAGATATGAGATTAAAAGTGTGCCCTCATGTGCACTTTCGTTTTTTTTTTTCAGCTTCAAGATAATTGCTGTCATTCTTTCTTCTCCAAAAAAGGAGCAGCTGTTGTAAGAAAGTGAAAGCAAGTTTGTTAATTCATGCGGGTTAATCCATTTCCTGATTTTTCTGTTTTTCTTTGTGGAAGACTTTATAGATGTATTTTTCCCACCCTGGAGTGAGAACATTTGCTAGACTGTGCGCCTTTCTTCACAACATACCACAAGAAAAAAAGAAAGAAAAAAAGAGCATTAAAAAGTCTTAAAATCAGACGTGCATTTAGTGGTAAAACGCTGCTTAGATTCTCCAAAAACAGATGTTTGTTTCCAGTGAAGCCATTGTTACTAAGCTCTTGCAGGTTGACTCACAGTTTGTTTATTTCAGTGTGTCATTTTAGAAAGAGGTCAAATGAGGGCTGTATGCTTTTAAATAGGAATCAGTATTTTCTTCTGCATGTGGCGAGAGACAGCAAGACTTTATTAGATTACCTTTGGGAAAAAATATCCATACTCCAAAAATGATCTATGCTGTATTGTATCTGAATACAGGACTGATTTGGCCTGGTATAGACATTACTGAAAAGGGCTGTTTGCATATTTTATAACACATCAAACAAACCTTAAAATATTGTCAGATTACTGTATGTTATATTTGGGTTATTTATTTAGCATTTATTTGCACTTTTACCCTATATAGGGCACTCATTGAAATCCTGACAATAAAAATTTCAAGCCAAGAGTGTTGTTGGAGGACGGGGCAAGACCTTATTACCTTTGTAACATTAAAACATATGTTTATTTGATGGCAATGTAATAACAAGAAATGAGGACTTGCCTTAAAATATATTAAGAAATCGAATCGGGTACAGACTAACCTAGCATAAACCAGATTGATGCCTGTAGTTTAGTTTGAATTGTACACAGTAGGCATCTCTAAAGGCTCCTGTGGGAATTGTTCCCAGAAGAGAGGGACATTGAGGACAATTCTTTGAGCTGAGGGTAAGTCAATGGCCATGCTTGCCTCCATGTCCAGCTCTTAGCCAATCACAGCAGCTGTAGCAGTTGTGATGTATAACGCTCTGTATCACAACTAGCCAAAGTAACTGATAAATCAAACTTACCAAATCTGGTCGGGAGGAACGCACA